ATATTCACCTTGGTACACACATATTCTGTACTTACCTTCTTTTTCCTGATTCTTACTTTAGCATCGGAGTGTCTTACAGGTACACCCCCTTCTCCTCTCTCACACCCAGAATCACAGACGATTGTCTCTGTCCCACTTCAAGTTCTGATCAGCCGTCAAGATCAAATACTTTAGTAAAAATATAATTCTATTTCATTTTTCAATGCACATTTGCTAATTCTATAATCTAATTAATATTACTTTCATCATTTTCAATACTTGATAATAAATACTTTAGTAAAAATACCATTCTATTTCATTTTTCAATGCACCTTTTTTAATTCTATTCTTTAACTAATATTACTTTTGTTATTTCCAATACTTAATACTAAATACTTTAATAAAAATATCATTTTATTTATTTTTTATTTCTTTTTTTTTAATATGTTAAATGATCAATTAAATCATTTATTATAAAACAGAAGATGGACTAATTTTCTTCACAATGCAACAAAACACACAAAACGTGGCTACCTTATAATTCCATTCTAACCACCTATAAATTGTTCAAACAAACAAACCACCGAGCTATATATCACTTATTATGAACTTACAAGTAATAAGAAAATTTTACTATAGATCAATCTCTTATTCTCGTCGGATTTCTAACTAATACTACATATGGTACATAATTTCAATATGATACGACAAACGAGTAACATGTGAATCAATTAATCTCAAATTACCAATTAAGATTGATTTATTAGGTAAATATATTTGCATTAACATCAATTATTTCCATTAAACTTCATAATAAATTTCTTTAATTTGTAGTACTACATTCTTCAATACTTTCCTTCAATAGTCAATTCCCAATCAAACTCTAAGTCCATATTTTTTACACTTTACTCGTTTCTCGAGGCCCAAATAGTGAGTAAAAAAGTACAAATTTTATCTCGCGTATATATACCAACAAAGTGCTGGACCCAACTCCAGACCCGCGACTGTACGCCTTCCTCCTGGATAAATACACCAACGCAGTCGCCCACGCTTTTTTTTCCCACTGATTTTTCGGAAGAAACCGAATACACATTCTTACCCTTATTCCAGGGTTTACAAATCTTGAACTCGTTCTTCGTCTTCACTACTACTATTCCCTTTTCGCTAGAACGTTTACATCACGTTCAGGTTCCGTGTTCTTCAAGGGAAGCTTCACTCTTCGCTGTTACATCGATCAATCTTGATTCTTCGTATTCATTTTTCATTCTTCCATTCAAATTTCTCCTTCAGAGCTACTGCATGTATGTATGTGAAATCAATTTTGTGTTTTTTAAGTTTTTTTTCTAATTATTTTTTTTTTTGGATTTTGACGATAGCGATTGCTGAATGCGTGCATGGAGGGTTTTGGTTTGGAGACAATGACAATGCCGAGCGGAAGCTTTTTTTTTGTCAAGAAAATTTAACCTACATTTTTCGTTTGCGTAGGATTCAGTTCAGTGGCTCAGAGTGATTTTGGTTGTGCCGTTTGCTGAATGCTGGTTCGTTGGAAGAGTACTATTTCAGGGTAAGTCTTCGCCGCCACTTGTTAAATTGCGCCTCTCTTTCATCACATTACTTATATCTCGGTGTGGATTTGTTTGGATTGACTTATTTAAACTTATTTATCTGTATAGGCATGATCACTTTTGAGATTGTTTGGAAAAGTTGATGGAAACAAACTATTGATACTTGTTTTCAACTTTTTTTATAAGCTCTTTGTGATAGCTTATGAAAAACATCTTGTAACTTTATTTTATAGCTTATACATAAACCCTTACTCTCTGGTCACTATAATAAAGGGCTTATATATTGCTTTCCTGAGATTGGATTCCAAAATTTAAAAGCCTTGTAATGTTCAATGCTGTATAATAATATCTCACTATGGCACCTCTCTTCCCTGTTTTAATGCAGAACAGAAGTTTGTTTTTCTAAAGGAGCAAAAAGCTAATCACGTTTTCCTTCTCCAGGTAAATTAAATGCATTACTGTAGGAGCCTATGCATTTTTGCTATGTTTTAATTATTGAGCATAATAGTGAACCTTAGAAAGTTGCGCAGCGCTTAGAACTCATTTTGTGAATCTTAGGTTGCGGGTTCGAGTATTCAACTCCAATTTTTCTATTTTTATTGTTTTATTTCATTAAAAATGCCAATTCAAGGACTTGATACTAGGTACACTAGATTTAACCCTATACACCACTATACTAACAGCTGGTTATGATATTAAATTGAAACGTTATATGTATGTATTTTGGCTTAATATCCTTTTTGGTCCCTTATATTAACCTCGAGGTTCATTTTGGTCCCTTAACTTTAAAAAGGTTCACATTGGTTCCTTAACTCTTGAAAACGTTCCATGTTAGTCCTTTTAGACCATATTAGTCCTTTTTGTCTAATTAGCGACAAATTTAGCGACTGATTTTTGAATTTTTCTGTCACTAATAGGACAAAAAGGACTAATATGAAATGTTTTGAAGAGTTAAGGGACCAATATGGACCTTTTTAAAGTTAAGAGACCAAAATGAACCCCGAGGTTAAGATACGAGACCAAAAAGGGTATTAAGCCTTTGTATTTTCATCAAAATGCATAGTGACCCCTTTGAAGTGAACACTACATAGGTATGAGTTTGTATTTTCTTGAATTGTAGTGCACGAGTAAACCTAACTTAAGTCCATTATACAAAGACAATAAAATAGAAAGAGAAATAAGCATAATATCTATGCAGGGTTGATGAAATGGAGGGATACTAAAGATGTAATTTGTGATAGAAATGTACAATTCTAGTTTAAAAGAAAAATTTATTGACAACTATAAGGCTTATAATGTCTTATGATATGAGACTCAATACTTGATAATAAAGTGCTAACAACAAGGTAAGCTTAGTGTTAGAGACAAGAGTATTATGATGGATGAATTGTTACACAATACAAAATTAAGAAACGAAACCATTTGGCAGTTTTGGGTAGAGTTCATTGTAGGAAAGATCATAAGAGTTTCATTTTAGGTGCTTCGACTGGGTTTGTATGGAGAGGATGGCTAAACTGACCAATAAAAAAGGTAGATCTAAGGAAGGATAGTCAACCGTTAGAGTTAGAAAGAAATCAAGGATAACTAGAGGACAAACTGTCGGGAGATTTGGATGTATACGGTCTATCAGCAAACATATTCATGACAGACTATTTCGGCTTTGTTTAATTTGTAGTTGACTCATCTAGTGAATTAAGGCTTTGGTTGTTGCTACTGCTGATTAGTATACCTTTATGTGTACTTTTAGAACAATCTCACTTTAAAAGACTTTTCTCCAAAACTGATATTCATAAGAAGATTTTAAACATTGGGAGGTAAGCAATCAAAACATAAGCATAGTTTCATTTTAACAGTATTCCAACTGCTCCAAATTTTTAGCAAAACTCTAAAGCAAAATATACTGACAAGGCCCTCTAAGTTAACTCTTCAATTTGAAGCGGTGAAATAGAAATGTTATTCAATTTACTTGCAATGGAAAAAAAAAGCTTATTAGAAAAATATCTCACGTTTTGCAATGTAGACCAACATGCACCTGACTTGAGTAAATAGAAGGTCATTGGGATGTGTAACTAATATATAATCAACAGACTTTTATTTATTTTTGTTACGTATATGGGCTCAACCAGGTTATTGAAATCTTCCCTTTGAGTTCTATGTTCCTTGTTAATGATTTCTTGGATATTTTCAAATCCTTCCTTTTGAGGTTTTTGGAAATAACATAAATGCATAATGCTGCTATTTCTATTTTCATCTATTGATTTTACTATCAGATTTAAAGTGAAATACAGTGTGCACATCCACCTTGTTGCTAGTAGAATGACTAGTTTCTACAAAGCATGGCTTGCACTTTATTTAATTATTTGCTTTTTTGAATTTTATATGAATACAACTAGAAATAGTACTGTAATTAGATACTCCATATAGTAAGGTTTATTCATTAATACCTTTGAATTTTATATGAATACAACTAGAAATAGTACTGTAATTAGATACTCCATATAGTAAGGTTTATTCGTTAATACCTTTAAAACATTGTTTCTCTCTTTCAATTTATGATTTGTGCTTTTGTTATATTTCTAGAGGTTGTACTATAATCATGCTGTCCCATGTTGCACGCATTGTAGGGTTTGTTGTTATTTATTAGGCATAGCAATTAGCAAGCACTAAAATTGGTTTCTCTTCACCATTTTTTCATGAATTGCAATAATAACATTAAATATGATAGAAGTGGTTAACATTTGCTTATATTTTAGACATCAAATAAATCTTTTTTGTTTCTTATATTCGAGACCACCGGAGGGAATATCTTTTAAGTTTATTGGAATATTGGTATATTGATCCATGAATATTGCAAGAAGTCCTTTTTTATTAAAAGAAGTTTGCTTGAAATGCTTTGTTTTAATTCCTGTTGTGAGAAGTTTCCTTGGTAGGCAATCAAGTAAGTAGGAAGGACCACTATAAACCCTTACCACAACTTCTAGCATACCCTTGCATTGAAATTAGATGGCCTCTTCTCCTGAACTGTTATTTAACAATGAAAAATTTATATTCTAAAAGTTGACAAACTTGTGATGTTTAGTTCATAAGTTTTTGATCAAGGTCTGTCAGTTTACTGTAATAACATCTCAAGTTTGCACTATATAGAATATGGAGAAAGATGTCTCTTTGAAGGTTTCCTTTATTTTATTTTTCTGCTGCAAAGTTCTCTTGAAATATACTGATAATACTGTATTTGTTTTTATTTGTTCTACAATCGGTTTAATGCACTGAACCTCTCTTAGGCATCGCTCTGATTTCATTTTGCAATTTGCAGGAAATGATTAACCATTGTGACTTATAAAGTTCAAGTTGATAGCAAGGATTGGTAAAAGGCCATTTGGAGTAGGAAAAAAGTCTTGGCATACGAGTAACTGCTGTGATAGTGTGGAATTGTGCAAAATTACTTTTGGAACTATCATGACTACTGATCCAAGGGCTACTAAGGGCTATGATGCTACAAATGACTCAAGGGCTATGATTGAATCAAGGGCCGTTAAGGCCTATGATGCTATGAAGGTCTTAGGAATCTCTAAGGAAGAGGTGAAACCTGTGCTGAGAAATTTGCTTAAAGTGTATGATAAAAGTTGGGAGCTTATTGAAGATGACAACTATCGGACTCTTATAGATGCGTACTTTGAGTCAAAGGAAGATAAGGTTTCTTGAACATCCTTTGCTAGTTTTTTTTATATGTATATACATAAACAAACATTGATTTCATCAAAGTGTTTTGTATAAATTGCTAATTTTTTGTCCTTATAATTACTTGTCTTTGTGTTTGCTGCATTGGTCAGTTTTTTTTTCTGACACATTGTTATATTCTTTCTAAAAGACAGAAGAACACAAGAGAAAAGCTCCAATCAATTCTCAAGATGGGGAAAGACCAAAACAGAGACTTCACGTGGCAGATAGGGACAACCAGGTTCCATCAGCTGTCAAATCAATAGAAGTGTTGCCTGTAGAAGACAATGACAAACCTCCAAAGACTCTTAAACAGAAATCTATGAAGTCATTTCAAACTTCGTCGTCACACAAACTTCTATCACAGAGAAAATTGAGTGACGATGAAAGGATCTCAAGCTTACCTTCCATGGCTGCTAGAGGTCAAAAAAGTTATCCTGCTTCATCTGCAGGGCTTTATTCAGAGGAACCTAGCCATCCTTCTATTCAGAGAAAAAATATGTCAAGCGATCACCATCAGAAGAAGATTAAAACATCAGGAACTGAGATGCCTAAGTTTCGTGTTGGAACTGCATCGACGAGTTACAATGGTAATTATGACAGGCTTTTTAATTGATTGTCGTTTACTATTTTCCTTATGTTGTATGCTATCTTACGAAAAGTATATATTGTTATATACTTTGTTAAGAGTCCCACATCGGATAATATATGGCATGAACATGTGTTTATAAGTGGGGGTAATCCTCACTCTACCAACCGGTTTTGTAGGGTTGAGTTAGGCCCAACCACATTTCTTAACATGGTATCAGAGCCTGATTTAAGATCCGGTGGGCCACCTTTTATGGTTTCCGCTATCGGGCCACCTACCATTTATTTCCACGCTTCAGTTGTCCAGTCCTGAGCGTGAGGGGGTGTGTTAAGAGTCCCACATCGGACAATATATGACATGAACATGTGTTTATAAGTGGGGGTAATCCTCACTCTACCAACCGGTTTTGTAGGGTTGAGTTAGGTCCAACCACATTTCTTAACATACTTGAACCTAGTTTGAAGTTTCTTGATATGTATGCTGCTTTGTGCATGTCTTGTTGATTTTCTTTAGGCTCACTTGGCGCTTCAAATGGAAATCTTTCTATCAAATCCCCATCAAAGGTTCTGAAATCTGGTGGATATGTCGATGACATAACAAAAGGTTCTGAAAACGTCAAAGTATCATTATTAGATGAAACTAAAAGTGAGGAGTTTCCTAAATTCAATTACATTCCATGTAATGTAATTTATCAGTGCGCTAATGTCAATATTTCACTGGCTCGGATTGCGGATGAGGGTTGCTGTGCTGATTGTTCAGGCGACTGTCTTTCCTTATCATTTCCTTGTGCTTGCTCTCAAGAAACTGGTGGAGAGTTTGCTTACTCTTCAAACGGTTTATTAAAAGAAAAATTTCTCACGGATTGCATAAATGAACCTCAAGCTCATCATTATGTGTATTGTAAAGAATGCCCAATTGAGAGGTCTAAGAACGAGAGCAAACCTGAACCATGCAGGGGACATCTGGTTAGGAAGTTTATAAAGGAGTGCTGGAGGAAATGTGGATGTGACATGCAGTGTGGAAATCGGGTAGTACAACGAGGTTTAAGCCGGAAATTGCAGGTAAACTTTTCTCTGAATGACATGCAATTTATTGATGAGAGTTTTATTTACTTTACTTTGCTTTAATATTTTGTTATGGTTAGTAGATGAAGTTAAGGCAGGTGAAATTTCTTATATGTTTAGTGAAGGATTTGTGTCTTTGATCCTCTATTTTCTTAAAACTATTCTCTAAATATTTTTGCAACTCGTTTGTTGAAATATTTATTTACTTTTGTTAGTTTTATTTTGTTATGGTTATTAGATGAAGTCTTCATTTAATTTTGTGGTGATAAAAATTGATTAATATTAAAAGGGAGTAGAATTTAAAGTGATTTATGCTTAGAAATGACAATGTTCATGATATTTTTGCTCGTGTTGCAAATGGTCCTAACTGTTACATTATTAGGAAATACAAGTAGCTACTTTTTCTTTTTGTTATTGTTCCATTTCTAAATGATGAACTACTGACTGCTGCTCTACCCAAATTACAACTGTCTTTGAAGGAGTCAACCACAGAATTTTAAAATTACAAATTAGATTCTTACCGCTAGATAACTTTTTTCTTAGTGACAAATGGTAAGTAGTGAATTGTTAGTATATTAAAAGATTAAACAATAGCCATGTCAATAATAGTTATCATTGAAGCATATAAGAGTACACAAACTTTGTCAAAAAAACCACAGTACAATGCACGAATACAAAATTATCAATTGCAGTTTGCACTGTGCAGAATTCTACAGCCTATACCAAGTATTAACTAGTTTTGAATTTACTTATTAAGGTTTCAAGGTTTAACAGCAAAAACTAAGGATTCAGTGATGCTTATTAAGACTCCATCCCAAAATTTGAAGTTCGACATTGATAATCGATTCCTTGGCTACTAGCATTTGTCTTTCGGTCATATGTTTATGTGTCAAATAATCTCCTTACTTTCAGATCTTGACAAGATGATTGAAAGTTCTATGGTATAATATGGAATGAGAAAAAGAGCAAGCCAACTAGCGACTTGCATTTTCTCATTTGAAACTAGTAATGAACAAAATGGAATGTAAAATTTGCTTAGTAGTTTGAATGTGTAGATTTTGCTGCAAGGAGAGTGATCAGATGGAGAGGAGTTAAACCACTAGAGAGAGAGGAAAATCTTAAAAAAATATAAGAGAAACTATTAGAAAAGATCTCAAGATTAACAAATTGAATAGAAACATGGTTTTGGATAGAACATTATGGCATAATTTGATCCATGTAGCAGACCCACTTTATATCAAACTTATACTATGAGTTTACCGCAACCCTTTCTCTAATACTGTCATTTCTAATTCTATATCCTCTATTCTTACCACATTCTCAACACAACATTCTTATCTCTACTGCACTTATTTTATTTTGGTATTTGTTTTTTTACTGCCAACATTCCATCTTGTACAATGTTGCTCGTCTTACGACTGTCCAATAAAATTTTCCTTCCTATATGAATGGTATTTCCGTGTGAAAAAAACCCTCAAAGTCCTCATCTATTTCAACCACCCAGTTCAAATTCAATGGTTTAATGGTTTTGGAGTGAAAAAATCATATTCTAGTCAGAAAACCAAACTTCTAGGTTAAAATTAAATAGTTAAGTTTATGGAATCATATTCATGTACCAATCTCCTGTATGTTTTTAGGTTCACTCATCTTGCTGCAATTGGAACATTTTATTTGATAAACTAAATTTATTGTACTTTTTCTATTATTGACACGTTATCTTTTATTTTTCAGGTATTCTTGACTGATCAGGGAAAGGGCTGGGGCGTTAGAAGCCTAGAAGATTTGCCCAAGGGAAGCTTTGTATGTGAATACGCCGGAGAAATTTTAACTAATACAGAGTTATATGATAGGATTGTAATGAGTACTGGCAATGACAGACATACATATCCTGTAACGCTTGATGCGGACTGGGGCTCTGAAGTGGGATTAAAGGATGAAGAGGCTTTGTGCTTAGATGCAACACATAATGGGAATGTTGCAAGATTCATCAATCACAGGTGATTTTCAAAATTCAATAAAATATTTCTCAATGACTAAATTGAATAGTAAACACTTTTTCTTTAAAATATATTTGGATGGGTGGTATGGTATGGAATGGAGTGGTAAATAATGAGATTTTATTGTTTCAATTTGTTAATAATAGATAGAATAAAATGAAACATGATAATAGATGAAATAGAATGAAATATGATAGAATTCATTCCATCTAATTCCACCAAAATATCTATTTTTTGTTCAGTGTATCTGATGAAATAAAATATTTTTAATAAAATAATCAAATGATAGAGTGAAATTTATGTTTCATTCCGTTCCGTCATATTTTATTCTGTTCTTATGTTTCATCAATTCAAATATAACATTGATACATCCAAACATAACCTTAAGGTTGTATTTTTTTATTTTTATACTTTATGTTTGAATTTTTGCTCTTATGTTCCATCAATTCATACATAACCAGTAAATAAGGTTGTATTTTTTTTTTTTTTACTTTATGTTTTCCTACCTCCATTGTTATATAAGACCTCTTAAAATAAATAAATTATGGGAATTAATAAAGTTAATTAAAGTATTAAGTTTGTTGACTATTTTCTATAATTTTATAAATTCATTCTTAAGAGAAAATTATTTAATGTGTGTTTTTTATTCTCATTTTTGGAAAATCAAAAATAATTTAAAAGTGTATAATTGATTTTGATTTGTTTGGTTTATTGAAAGTAGAATTGATTATGCTTGACTTTTTTTTTCTGAAGTTAAATTTTTTTTAGGTTAAATATAATTTTTACACTGAATTATTTACTCACTTTTGTATTAATCTATTCAAATTAATTCACTTTTGCATTAACTTATGTAAATATAAATTATTTTACCTTCAATTAGGAGGATCAATTTATTCAAAAATAAATTTTTATGAATGCAGAATCAAACATAATTAAGAATATGCATCTTATAGAAAAAGATGAAACATAATTATAGATAATGAATAAAAGGATTGTTGATGACTTTAAGTTCAAAAGCCTTATTAAATTTGACAAAGAAAATTGTACCAAAAAGAAATTGATAAAAAAAAATTATATTTAAAGACAGAAGTGGTAATAGTGTAGTAATTTAAAAGTTCGCACTTTATGAAAAAATAATTATTAACCATTTTTCATGAGCTTATTGTTTAATTTGATTAATATATAAACTTTTTATAAGTTAATTTAAATAATTCATAGTTTATTATTTTCTCTCTTAATTTATTCTCAATTTAAGATTGTTTCTTTTTGTTTGTTTCATTTATGTCAAAGTCTAACACGGAATAACATTTTCTCTTTCTACTTTTTTTTTTCTTCATTAAAATATTTTGTTTTCTCTTGCATAAAAATGTCTTGATAGTTAATTTTTGGACTTCCTTTGCATTATGTTATGGCATACTTATGATTGACATTTTTTTTTTTCAGATGCGCCGATTCAAATTTGATAGATATTCCTGTGGAAGTGGAGACACCTGACCGCCACTATTATCATGTGAGTTTGTTTCTAAAAGTTTTTATTTTAACAACTTTTTTAAAATTATTGATTTTATTTTAAAGAAAAGGAGTGATGCATTGATTTTTTTTTTTTACATTGTCAAGCAATGGTTACTCTCACATCACATTTATATTTTAAAATTCTTCTAATAACATGGATTGTTGGTTTTCTTAGAAGATAATATAAAATTATTTTATTGTCTCACTGCATATGCATTAAACTTTTTATTTTAATATATTTTGATAATTTATTTACATTAATATATAAACATAAATAAATATTATTGTCAAAGGTTGATTTAACTCAACTAATAATCTAGAATATATATATATATATATATATATATATATATATATATATATATATATATATATATATATATATATATATATATATATATATATATATATATATATATATATATATATATATATATATATATATATATATATCAGTTCAAGTATTTTTATAAGAGTCATGTTAATAAGTGTCTCTGGAATATTTTTTAATCATTTTAAATCTGGAATATTTTTTAATCATTTTAAATAAAGAAAATATTCTTTAGAAAAGTCGAATATTTCCATTTCCAATGAGTGAATACACCGAAGTCTTTTTTTATGAGCAACACACTGTATATTCATCTAAAACTTTAAAATGATAGGTGTGTAGTTTCTCTTTTTCTAACCAATTTGAGACTTTTTCACACAATACTTTCAACTCACACTTGTTTTTTTCAATACTCTCTCTTAAGTGTCAAGCAATGGTTACTCTCACATCACATTTATATTTTAAAATTCTTCTAATAACATGGATTGTTGGTTTTCTTAGAAGATAATATAAAATTATTTTATTGTCTCACTGCATATGCATTAAACTTTTTATTTTAATATATTTTGATAATTTATTTACATTAATATATAAATATAAATAAATATTATTGTCAAAGGTTGATTTAACTCAACTAATAATCTAGAATATATATATATATATATATATATATATATATATATATATATATATATATATATATATATATATATATATATATATATATATATATATATATATATATATATATATATATATATATATATATCAATCAGTTCAAGTATTTTTATAAGAGTCATGTTAATAAGTGTCTCTGGAATATTTTTTAATCATTTTAAATAAAGAAAATATTCTTTAGAAAAGTCGAATATTTCCATTTTCAATGAGTGAATACACCGAAGTCTTCTTTTATGAGCAACACACTATATATTCATCTAAAACTTTAAAATGATAGGTGTGTAGTTTCTCTTTTTCTAACCAATTTGAGACTTTTTCACACAATACTTTCTACTCACACTTGTTTTTTTTCAATACTCTCTCTTAAGTGTGAGTCTATCAACAATGCTCTTTCTCGGTCTGAAGCTTTTTCGTTGACATACACTTGTATTGTCGTAGACTTTTTAACGGGACATTTTCTATCCATCATCCGTGAGGAGTACTTTTAATACAAAGAAGTTGTTCTCTCACCTGAATCAGGTTCTGAAATCAATGTTGGATCATCAATTCGGGAGGTTAACGTGAGGGAGCATTTTTACATTAGGATCTTCTTTTACGCGTAACACACTTTTGTGAGAGACATACTACATATCCACCCAAAACTTTAAAGTGATAAACTTTAAAGTAATAAGTGTGTAGGTTCTTTTAATTATAAATATTCTAATCTCTACTTTTTTAACTAATGTGAGAATTTCTCACACAATACTTTTTAATTCACACTTGTTTTTCTCTACCAAATTTCAAAAGTTTTTGATTTAGAGTTTAATCTTTGTTAACAGATTTTTATTTTTTTTTATTTTCTTATAGTGTATAAATTTAAACAAATGTTTAATGGTTATTTTTCTATTAAATAAATGGAAGATTATGAAAATTAACTTTTTAAGGATGGTTTTATAGCTTGTTTTGATCTTTGTATGCAGCTTGCCCTTTTTACAAAAAGAAATGTGAGTGCATACGAGGAGTTGACATGGGTAAGTAATCCGAGACATTTTCTTATCTGTTTTTAAATAGTAAATGATGATTTAAGAACAATACTTATTTATCTCATAAGGGGTCTTTTTCTTAAGAATAAGAAAATTAAGATTTTTAAAAAATGTGACACTATCATTTTTTTTCCTCATAACTAAAAAAAGTATGTATACATTAATTTCTTATTTTACTAAAGTGTTTTTGTTCAAAGTTGAAAAATGGAAAAGAAATTCTAAAGTAAATCTTGAAGTCAAGATAAGGAGGCTAAAAAAGATTAACAGATTTTTTCAACGTTATTTGAAGTCAATTGAATAAAATGATTAACGTGGAGCAATTTAGTCAAGTTAAAGGATTAATGTACACGTTAAATAAGAAAAAGTTTAGAATTCAATTCAATTTTGTTTTCAATCTATTTAGAGCATTTTTAGTGGGAATAAACTAAATTGATAAACTAAAATACTCTTTGTGGACCTAAAATAATTTGTAGGATTTAAAAAATTTATAGTTAATTTGAGTTATTTTTACTTTAATGATGGTTGCTTATAAAAAATCAAAATTTGACCCCATGTTTTATATTTTAATATTATAAAATAATAATAAAATAATATAATAAGAGTCATTGAAATTTGATAGTGTGTGTTGGATATATAACTGCTCAAAATTAATTGTTAGTTCACTTACTGCTATGTCATTCTTATTCCAATGCAAATTGTTTATAGCTACCGTTACTATTAAAAAATTTAATATTATAGAACCTGCACTAAAAATACTCTTATATATCAATATATCAAATTCATATAATAGATCAAATATATTAAATATTTAATAAATATAAAAAATAAACTTTTTATATTAAAGATCATAAAAAGTATGCTATCTATCTATGTTGTTCCCACTCTTTGTTAGCTTAACCCCTTTAGGATGTCTGTGCTTTCTCACTAGGAACATTGTTGATATTTATGTGTGATTGTTAAAAGTTCCACATCATATAATTTATGGATTGAACATGTGATTATAAGTGAAGACAATTTTCACCCTATAAGTCGATTTTGTAGGATTGAGTTAGACTTAATCACACATTTTAAAGATGGTATCAGAGTCTTGTTTAAGATCTATTTGGCCATCCGCAATTTAATTTCACGACTCACGCAAATTCTGGGCGTGAGAAAGAGTGTTAGAGTTCCACATCAGACGATCTATAGCTTGAACATGTATTTATAAGTGGAAGCAATTCACACCCTACAAACTGATTTTGTAGGATTGAATTAGGTTCAACCACACATTCTTAAGAGTTGTACTGCAGATGCATGACTATTATGTCTGTCTATTTGAATACATCATGTCTATTTGGATACACCCTGTCTATTTGGATACACCGTATATTAATTTAAAAAGAAAACATACAACAAGACATTTTACGGATATTATATTCGAAATAACCCTTTTTACAAAAATATGATGTATCTGAAATTAATTATAATGAGTGACTCACTTGTTTCTATTTAATTTTAGATGAAATGAATGTGTACTGAGATGAATCTCCGAAAATTAGAGTCATCTCTGACTTTTTTTGTCAAAAATTTAAAAAAACTTATAAAAATAATAAAAGAAATTGCCTTCCACATTAAGCAACATTTGGCCCAATTCATCCTCCACATTCTTCATAGTATAGATGTCTCAAAAGAAAAAATGAATCCATGGCAATCCACTGCTTTGTATGTACCGTAAAACTATCATAGAAATGATACATAATCTAAGATAAAGATGTGGCCAATTGTTTGCAGGATTATGGAATTGACTTTGATGATCATACCCATCCTATTAAAGCATTTAAATGCCGTTGTGGAAGCGCTCACTGCCGTGATAAAAAACAAAAAGGTCAGTTTCATAGTCTTGCTCATGCTAATATCTTGTTTTACTAAATTTTTATTTGAACTGAGATTTAAGAAAAATAATGTGTATTTACTTATTTTAATTTTTTTTACTTAATTATTATTTTCGTTCATATTTATAGATCATTTATTAAATTAGTGTTTCTATTTAAAATTTAAATAATTTTATTAGATTTGAGTTTGATAGAATTGATTTATGTTTAAATACATTTATATAAAAATGAATTGAACAACAAATTTTAGTGTAAAAATCACGTTTAAACTAAAAAATTACAAATTCCAGCTTTAAGTAGAATTAATTTTGAAAGCAAAATCAATTCTACTTTAAAAGAACCAAACATCTCAAAATCACTCTAGAATCAATTCTACATTTTTAAAATTGCTTTTGACTCAGCCGAAAACCAAACCAAACATGCTTTAAGTGTTTGATTGGTTTTGCGGTGAGGAGACTTGATTATGTGTTATGTGATTCTGGATTAAAGTGAACTGAATGTAAAGTGATTTATTTTTGGATATATTTATGTAAAATCAAAATTGAATAACAATTTTCAGTTTAAAAGACCTATTTAAGAATAAATATAAACTTTTGCTTCAAATAAAATCAATTATCCTTTAAAAAAATCAGACATCTCAAAATCAATTCTGAGACATATAGAATTGCTTTTGCCTCTTCCAAAAGCTAAACCAAACATACACTAAGAAAATAACAGAGTCCAAACAGTTTTTTCTCGATTATGTGTATGTTTGATTCTGCTATAATGAGAATTGATTCTGAGTGAATTAACTTTGTTGAACCGATTATGATAACAAAAGAGTTGTATGTAAAAGTGATTTATGTTTGAATATGTTTATATAAAAGTGAGTTAAAATTCAAAAGTTATAGATTTTAGTTTCATGTAGAATCAACTCTGAAGTTATAATCAATTCTATTTTATAAGAATCAAACATCTCAGAATCATCTTAGATTTAATTCTACACTTCTAAAATTGATTTTGATTTTTCCAAAATCTAAACTAAACACATACACATGTCTTTTGCGAAGAATTTTCTGAGACATATCCTAAAAAGAGTATTACCCAAACACTCTCTTTATGACGAATTTTAAATTCATTCAAAATTCTTTAAAACCTTCTAATCTTTCCCTCGTTTGGATTCAGAATTTCTCCATATTTGAATGTTTTAGTTCAATGAAAAAAATAAAATCTCATGCAAAATGGAAGCTTACTCGTCCTTTCTTTTCCCTTTACTAATTCTATAACATCTTCCGAGTTGTTCATTCTCTTTACGTCCAAACTCAAATATAGGATAAAAAATATGTTGCTTACTCATTCTTTCTGTTATGTTTTTGCAGGAACTAGATCAGCAAAGACTAAAAAACTCAAGCATACGAATACACATTGATAGAATAGTTGAGATTTTACCGTCGGTGTTGGATATAGCAGAACAATGTAGACTTCACAACGTGACAAATTAGGATTCAAGTCTCAATTGAAAGAGGTATTTGCATTTTGATGTTCGACGATATATTGCCGAAAATGTTTGATCATCATCATCAGTAGAAAATCTCGGACAACAAATTGTTTGAAGTTTTTTTTGTTAAAATTTCCTTTTTGGTCGGTGAATGTTTGCAATAGATTATCAACCGGTTTATTATTGGTGCTGTTTCGGTACATAGCATCCAGATAGCGGAAACTTTTATAAATTTTATGACAGTCTTGACAGATATTCTGAAATAGTTCCAATTTTTGGTGCCAATATATTTTTTTTTAGAAATTCTTTTGTTTTTCTTTCATAAAATTTTTATGATTTAATATATGTTTTCGTCTCTTAATTTAACGTTTTGTTTTACTTTTTAAACTAAAAATGTTGCAGGGTAGGAACTTCACTTTTGTTATTTTATTTAATCCATATTAAATTGTGGAGTTTTTTCGAAAGTGAAACCCCTAAGTTTAAATAATGAATCAGACTTTGACTACATATGTTAACCCATATTTATATGGTTTTAGTGTTACCTCACGCACTTTTTTGTTGATTTGTTAGAAATCAACTTAAATAATCAAATAGGATAACAAAAGTGAGTACATATGTTAACCCATATTTATATCAATGGTCATGTCACTTTTTTGTTGATTTGTTAGAAATCAATGTAAATAATCAAATAGGGTAACAAAAGTGAACATAAGAATACTTGTAATATATTTTTAATTAAGTGACTAAAAAATTAAGTTAAAGAATTTGGTGAATATTTATGTCAATTTTATTGATTGATAAACAATGTTTCTCGTCAATTTATTCTATTTTAATTTGTAAGTGAGGCTAAATAGATATTTCCTCCGTCTTATAATGAGTGCTTCAGTTGACTATTTCACGTAAATTAAGAAAAAAAATTGTTCTGAATTGGACTCAGGTCTGCCCATCCGTCAGGCAGGTCAAGCCTAACGCCATTTGGGGAAGGCCCAAATAGGCCCAAATTGCCTCAGTGTCGGGCACAGGTTCCCCCCGTCGACCAGACAGCTCCCTCGCCGAGCAGGACAGTCTCTCCGTCGGGCAGGACAACACGTCTTCTACACGTTCTCCACGTGTCTCCTCCGCGGGGACACGTCATCAAACAACTACCCACTTCCGAAAGAGCTGGTCAGCTCACCTTCCGGAGATCACAGGACGGTTGAACTAGGGCGAAGACCACGTGCTGATTTTCACTACGCCACGTAAGCCCTAGTGGTCTCTTGGGTTGGGCCTGACAATCCAGTCCAACACAAGTGACCGTTGGTCCTGCGCTGGGGTCTCATTATAAATACTCTTTCACTAGAGGGTCAAATATTCTCTTTTTAACCTCTCTTCTGTATTTGCTCCCACTCTGGTCCATTACTTACTTTGGCATCCGAGTGTCTTGCAGGTACACCCCCTCCTCGTCCATATTTCTTGTGAGTAGCTTGCAGATCAACGACGCGTGACAGGTCATTGGTCCCCTTCTGATCAGGTCAGATCAGTGGCGCCGTCTTTATGAATCTAAGCTTCCCCATTCCTTTAAGCAGAGAACCAATGCTTCATCTTTTCAAATTCCAAGATCATGACTAGCCCACATCACGATGACGTTGTTCCCGATTCTGTCTTCAGCCCTGTCACCAACGGCGACAACCAGACAAGGACATCTCAACCCCGCGAGACCGACGTCAGGGACGACCAAACTGCCTCCCCTTCATCTGAGGATGCGGCGCACCATGTCGTTCCTCGGGCAAGGAGCCTGGCGGTATTCCAGCCCGTTCCCACACCGGCTGGGGCGGACCCGACGATGGTTACCCTCTTCGCAGCCATCAACCAGACAAACCAGATGTTGTTCCAACAGAATGAGCGCATCGGCGCGCTGGAACAAGATACCTCGTCCCGCTCTCCTTCGCAGAGAAATCAGCGCGGGAGCTCCCAGAGCCCCTCTCCACGACCACGGGAGCGTCGACCACAACTGGAGAGGCCCTAACCAGTGGCCTCTAAGAAACGAGCAAGATCACCACCCCAGAAGGAGAGGCGCTCCCCGGAGCCAAGGACGAACGGGCCTGAAGCCCCGACCAGAAGACCAAGGAGGCGCAACCCGCCTCATCGACACGAATCGTCGCCTCCACAATCCCCGACTCGCAGCGATGAAGACGACTACAGGACTCCTCTATCGCGGGAAATCATGGCGACCCCTATCCTCCACGGGATGGAGAAGCCCCTAATACTCTCGACGTACGACGAAACCTCGGACCTAGACGACCATTTGGAGGACATTGAGGCGAAACTCAACTACAGGAATGTCCGGGTGTCGCTACTGCGAAAATCGGCGCCGACTGACAGAAGAGTCGCCACCGTGCGTTATTTATCCCTCAGAGCGGGAAAGGAAACGCTCGAAGTAAACCTCGCAAAAAACGGGGAAAGGTATGGTCATCGCAACCAAAACCTGGGTTCGGGAGTCGGTTACGCAAGGGGAAGGTATTAGCACCCCTCACGTCCGTCGTACTCGACGGGATCCACGCTTGCTTGGGTTGTCTATTGGATGCAAAACAATCTATCTACGGCTGCTAAATCTAAACGGAGGGGAATTGACTCGATAGAGCGTCGCACTCTATGCCTACGTATTCTCAAGAGAGAAAGTCAGAGTCAACGTAGTTCGGGACTACAGGGAAAATTGGCTCGCCAAGACCTCGCGTCTTGTGCCTACGTACTTCCACTGCGCGGAAGATCAGAGCTTTACGTAGTTCAGACTAACTACGGCTAAACAAACAGTCTCACACAGCAGTGAGAAAAACAAACTGGTTTCACAGGGTCGGGAACCTAAGGGCAAAACTACGGCTTGGTCTCAAATGCACTCGGGCAAGAGAGAAAAAGGGTTACAATTAGTCGTCAGCGGGAAGGTCTCGATCGCACAGCCGCGAGAGAACAACAAAGTCAGTCGTTAGTGTGCTCGCTAGGATATCGCATCCTATGCCTACATATCTTCGTCTGGTACGAAGAATCAGAGCAGCTGTAGTTCGGCTACTATCGGACCACAGCTCAAATCTCGTTTTATTAATCTCTGAAAAAATGATTACAATGGGTGCATATTGAAATAAATCTCCTAGGAAACGCTATCCTATTCTATCTTGAAAAAAAATCGAATGAAAATAGCCCCCTAACAAATGGGCCTCTAATTCTATCCCTAAAAGGAAAACAACTTCTATAAAAACCTAAAAGGAAATGCTTTAAAAAAATATTAAACCTACTTTTAATATTTTCCTTTTCTTTTCAACATATTTTTTCATATTTCTCCAAATATTTTTCTCTATTTTTTTTTTTACAATATTTTTCTCCATATTTCTTTTAATATTTTTTCATATTTTCTTTTTCATTTCTTTTTTCTATGATTTTTTCTTATAATATTTCTTTTCACTTCTTTTTCTTTTCTATTTTCTCAAACATATTTTTTTCACTTCTTTTCTATTTTTTCAAGTCTTTAAAAGAATAAAAAAACAAGAAAAGGGCTGGGGGTGTAACTGGATTACAGGGGGGTATCTTGAAAGAAAATAAAAAACAGTAAGGGCCCAGCCCAATGAAAGTTTCAGAAAAAAAAGAAAAAAAAAACCATAGGGGGGGTTACTGAATTGGGAGGCGCTGAGACACACTGGGCTTAGCCCAGAACGCGTCCAAAAACATGAGGGAATGCCTCCAAAAAATTTGTGGGCCTGGCCCAATACCCCTTTCTCCTTCCTCTTCTCCCTTCTCAATTCTGAACAAGAAAACCCTAGAGTATCCCTGTTCATGGCCGCCGCCGTAAACCCTCCGTTTGACTCCCTCATCTCTCCTCCATTCAACCTTCGTTCTTCCTCTCAAACCTGAACCATGCCTTTCACTACCCCTAAAGCAATGTGAATACCAAAGCTTATTGAAGGCGTTGCTGATTGATAGAGAACCTGAAGAACCCTTAGAGTTCTGGATATTCGAAATGAAGGTGTTCTTGAGTTGTTGCCGAGGATTCAAAGAAGAAGAAAATCTTGCATGTCCTTGAAGTTCTGTTAAACAAGGAATTCTTGAAAAAATTGGACTTCTGGAGATGTTGGACGAAGACGTCGTTGAAGTTCTAGAACGAACACCTGGAGTTCCTGATGAAGGCATTCGAAGGATCTGTTCGAGGATCTAGGGATTCACGATGGATGTTGATGAAAGGTAGTTGAAGTTCGTTGGAGAAGATGAACGGTGGTTGGAGCGTGATGGTGATTCTGAGTTTTTCTGGAGTTCGTTGATGCGTGATGGAGCTTGGTCGGTTGTTCTTGAATGGTTGAACGTGGACTCTGAGAGTTTGTGTTGAATGAATCTGGAGAGTAATATGATGAACGTTCTTCCTGATGAATCTCTGGTGACGCTCGTTTGATGAAGGTCTTGGAAATTTGTTCAACGGAGTTCTTGCCTGTTCATATTACTGGAAATCTGGGGACGATGATCACAACGAACAATCTTGTAGATTCTGGAAACTCTTGATCTACGAAGAAAACTTCGAATCTGGAAGTTTGAACGGTTGAACCTTGAAGTTTTGATCGGTTGAATCTTGATTTTAGGGCGTTTCTGGTGATCTGGATTTGGTGTTAGAGATGAGGGGAAGAAGATGAAGGGAGGAAGAAGATGAAGGGAGGAAGAAGATGCAGGTGAACGGAATCTGGGGTTGTAGTGGGTTTCCGGCGAGGGACGGCTGCCGCCGGCCATGCAGGCCGGCCGGTGGGGCGTTTCAGGCGAGGCAGCGTGATGATGACGCGTGGTGGAGGGACGGTGGAGTGGCTCTCTGCATGTGGGACGCGTGTCCCACGCGTGGCTGAGAGAGAGAGAAGGCTGAGGGTTACGTGGCGGTGTGGTGTGTGAAATTCGTGGGACCCTCTGTAAGCAACACGTGGCGTGAA